ATTATTATGTTTGTTTGATTTGTGTGTGTGTCTGTGTGTGTAGGTTGCAGTTTTTTCGTGATTTGTAAGTCGTTGGTGATGTGCCATTTCGGGACGGGACGGTCATCACTCCATTTTTTCGTCACTCCTATTCTGCCCGTGGGTTGTAGCCGACTAACAGTCCACACATTGATAGAAGGGTTCAGCAGGCTCTCCCTGATAAACCTAAACCTTTAAATTACGACTTTCCTCCTCCAAAGCGTGATGGTTATGGTAAACCCTCTCATAAAAAAGTCTCGTATACTAGCAGTAGACTACCATAAGCTGTAAATGATAATGAACTTTACTTCTATCATAAAAATAGGGGCTATAATAGTACACAAGGACACACATTTATTTTCCATTTTAATTAATGAAATAACAAACACATGTATCGGCTTTATGACCACTTACGAACTAACAATAAAGTCACTCCACACTCGACCGCGGGCTAATTTTCTACTCTCGATATTTCCAAGTAATAAAGTTACAAAAAAACGAAGTGGTATTTTATTCCTAGTAACTTAGTACCTACGACTACACATCGAGCTGTGCAAAACCAGTTTATAAAAGTCTCGCTTTTTAAGATCTTTCCGTAAATTCGAAGTTCGGATTACACTGGTTTTGCATAGCTTAATGTGTATTTACCTGGAGTTCAAAGAATGCTTGAAAGAGTTTCTTGATTAAATAAACTTTCAGCAATCGTAAATTTGTCGGCCGCAGAAATTGTAGGTTACTTATTAGTTTCTTTGGCTTTAGACCCCTTTTCTGTGGAAGGGTCTGTTATTGTTATTATTTCTGTAGCCAAAAGGTTTCTGATATTTTATAGGTACAATATAGGTATCTGGAAATCCGATAGTTTATGTTGAGGGTCCGCACGAAAATCTAAACGTTACGTCGACTTTTCCGGTCCTATTTATTACCGATTGGCAATATAGTAATATAAAATATTAATATAACGATTGTATTGTTCTCTAATTTCTTTCATATCAGGTAGTTGCAAGCGAAAAAATCAAAGTGATAAATGCTCAAAAAGTTTGATACCACAAGCCTTCGTCCTTCCTACGTAGATGGGTAAGATTGGAGTTGTAGCCTATATAGTATTCTCTAATACCATCACTAGTTTTATGTATCACAATTTTTGAGTCTCACTATACGTTGCATATAATTTCAAGCTTCAAACTCCAGCCTAGAAACCCATTCCAATCAAAAACCTCAATTCCAATAACAATCGCGTAAACGGCCGATGTTTCCACGATACGCTTCAATAGACACAAATTAACGATTGTTGCAACACAATAAATAATTCATTTCTAGGACGTTTTATCGTCAAAACAAGTCAAGGAAAAAGGGGAGCATTGTCTCACCATAACTGTGGAAATTAGGTCAGGAGGGGACCGAATAACAGGGGGAATGGAATCCCATGGATTTTATATATGAATCAGAGTTTGGCTCTGATTTCGAATGCATAGAATTAAAAATATATATTTATCGCTAGTGCTACGTTACTTGGTGAATATTGCACTTAATTTTGTGCAGTAATTTGTGAGTGATGCGATTATTATCATACAGACAGATATAAATCGTATAACTGTTATTTTGGCTTCGTTATTTGAATACGTCCTTCCATGTTTTGTTTCAAAATTAGCCATACAAATTTTTTCTACCTATTTCTGAACATTGAGCACTTTATGATGCAAGTGCGTTACCGGCTTTTTGGGGATTAGGAATTTAAGGATTGTTCGGGATTCAGAGATTGGTGGAATTGAGAGGGGGGGGGGGGCCTAACTGGGCTTCCGGTAACCTCAATCACACGACGAAACACAACGCATTTTTTCACGTCGGTTTTCTGAAGGGCAGTGGTATCACTCCGGTTGAGCCGGCCCATTCGTGCCGAAACACTTAAGCACAGTAATACAGCTCTTTCAATATTTTACCAATATTTTCTATTTAACCTTGCGTAAATTTTAGGGAAAAATAAATGATACCGACTGTAATTATTATTTATTTATTATAATTATTACGATAATTTATGCGGTCTCTTTTGTTGTTTGAGTCAACCTGAAATACTGAAGGAAAACGAACATTGAGATTATTATTTATAGGAAGGAAAAACTTTGAACAAAGGCTGATTTATGTTTTTTGTTGGACAACGTTTACAATGACAGAATATTTTATTATTCTTTTAGGTACTTCGAAAGCTTCTTATTATTATCGTTTAAAGAAAATAATATTCCTGACAATAGTAATCAAGGCGTTTCACTAAAATAACTACTCTTGGAACTGATTTCGTATTTTGCAGATAATTATTAGAAGGAATGGAAGCTTTTTTATGGGATCAGCCGGTAAACGAGCAGACGGATCACCTGATGGTACGCAATTGTCGCCGCCCATGGACACATGAAACACCGAGGCGTTACAAGTGCGTTACCGGCCTTTTGGGAATTAGGAATTTGAGAATTGTGGAGGATTCGGGAATGGGTAATTGGGCCACCCGGTATCCTCACTCACATGACGTAACACAACGCAAGCGTTGCTTCACGTCGGTTTTCTGCTCGGCCGTGGTATCACTCCGGTCGAGCCGGCCCATTCGTGCCTATTGCCGTATACCGGACACAGTTCCAGACTCCGTGCTACCACTGATAAAAACCCAGTAATACTTATGTAGATGGATACATACCTACATAGATGAATCAAGGTAATGCACGTGATTCGAAATGAAAGTACATAATGTAAGTGTAATAAGTCGCACATAAAATTCTAAAATTCTAACATCGCAATTTCTCATTCACAATAAACGCGATATAACGTCTGAAACGATTGTAAAATGCCATTTTACAAAGCAACCATAACGTTTCATAATGCCATGGCAATATAGCTTTTAACGTCATATGAATAAGAGTTTAGTACTCATAATAAAGAATATCAATGCAGCGACTATTACTATTGCACAATGCCACAATAACGGGTCTCTGGATAAGTGAAGCGCTTTAAAAGCAGGACTAAAAGCGTTATATATATTTTCTATATAACCACACTACTGTCAGATATAAGTACATATTGAATTAAATTAGATACATAGACCTGTAGGATATGTAAATGAAAATGCTTTTGAGGACTTGTGAACGTTAACGTTTGTAAAAAAATAATCGGGCTACTCGTTTAGTTACGAGCAAACTCAGGAACCCATAATTAGGAGCAATATACGCTACAACTAAATTTGAATAAGAAATTTGAATCCTACTAATTCAACAATACACATCACCTATCTAAACTTAACATCTTCGTAACAATACCTTAAATAACAATACAAAATTTGATCTTGATAATTTCATTTTCTTTTTAAAAAAAGGCCAACCTACATAGTGACAACCCTAAAATACGTAAAACCGTACACGGAAAGGTCAAGCACACATTCTTTAGTTGTAAAGACGGTGAATAAACAACGCGAGCGCGATGAATGGGCCGCCTTAATGACCAACGCGTTTTAGTAAGGCAGGGAGAACTAAACTAAACTTTTGAGACTCATCTGTGACGAGGACAGGGTTTTTGATTAAAGGCTTTTAGTTTAATTGGTTACGTAATTTTGCTTCATTTGGTTGAGTGGTCATGAGCGCGACTGCCGAACGATGGATTCCAGTCTCAGTCCAAAAAATTGTATCGGGGATTTTTTTGAAAGTTCCTTGTTTGGAAGTGTGCTTGATGTACGAAACTAATGGTCGAATTGCTGGATTTTGTAAAATAAAAATTGTTTTTAATTCAGTAGCTCGATCCCATAGCAAAATGTGGGCACGTACGACATAACGCTGGGATCGTAAGCGATGAAAAGCGGATTTTACATGGTTTTTTGTGCTATGTATTTCTGTCTATCCGGAATTAAAGGAAGTGAAGTTAAACCATAGTCAAGGAAAAGAATAAATAAAACTTTGCAATTGTTTTCTTTTGAAAATAGTTATATCACGTAGCAAACAGCTACGAGCTACGACGGCGTAGCAGCGTAGCGGCGTAGAATTCATCACATTAGTCGTAGCAACCGTTTAATCACAGTCATGTTGAACAAGTAACGATTGTTTATTATTCATGTATTCATTCCGTGGCTATAGTCTTGAATTTCACGTACGTTACGACTTGCGAGCTAGGCTTTAACCAAATTCAAAGTGATTATTCTGAACTTAGTCTCAAGATCGGAACAGATGGAAGGTAATGTAAAAAGATACCTATATGCCAATAAATTTCGTGGTTAATATTTTAAGGAAAATCTCATCTAGAATAATAAATATTAGATTAATGTAGCTCTTTTTTTGTAATGTGTCCTGGAAGGTGAAAGGTGCATGGCTCATGCTATTATTGTGTCTGGCAGATATACCTGTAGCGAGCATCACGATTGATTTATTGGGTGATAGATGCTTTATCAAACCCCGTCTTATTATTTACAATTTGTAGTTGTTTCATTGTAGACTTTCAACAAGAAATCATTATGTAACGTCAGTTCATCAATTATAGTTATTGGCTTCTTCCAATTTACAAAGAAAACAAAAAGGAATTATTTCTAAGACATTAAAAGCAATATTTTCAAGATTTCGCATTCAAAGTCTTTGTGGAATTATTTCTCAATATTTTGCTCCTAAATATAGAGTGACACCAAGTAAGGCAGGGATTATTTCTTCGTATAGTTACCATGGAAACGAATTTCCATTATCGTAAACGCTTTGTTCGTAATGTTTTCATTAATATTTCTCTCTTCTTATCGATTTTAAAAATATTTTTATTTTCTCTTTGATAAATAAACGTTTAATTTAATATTTCGTTCTGTATTGTAAGTGTTTTAAAATTATATCATTTTGCACACTCATCTCATTCAGACTCGTAAAGATTGTAGCACACTACGTTTCACAGGAGCTGACCTATGTTTACTAATACCATACTGGTAATAAATAAGGTATGCGCAAATCAATGGTATCTTTATTTTATTTTCATCATACCTTCAAAGTCTAGTTCTGTGTAGTCATGGTGTGTGAGCTTCCTTGCCGCTGGATCTGTAGGCGCCTCATCATCATCAGCTCTGGTCTCCATCGTCCACGGTCTAAGGACAAATAAGATTCACTTTTTAATATATTAGTACAATAAAGGATTTTTTGAAGTAATGCAGTGGCAATACTGAATTGTGGTGAATCAAGATTGTCGAATCAATCGTCTTTACTGGAAGCTACGTGCAAAGTTGACAGCTTTGCATCTCACATAATTAAAAAATAACTCTTCGAAAACATTTCTTTCATCAGTAAATGAATCTGATCCTTTTTTTTTAATTATTATTATTATACTTACAAAATGTAAACGCGTTCTAAATGAAAATTCAATTTAAAAAAACCAAGACTAGTATAATCTAAATCTCACACGAGTCACACGTAACCCACAAAGTTGATACGTCTACCAAAAACAGATTAATACCAACATTCATACAACCAATTGTCTTACATTGAGGTATCTCTCAGTCGATTTCCCAAGAGCACTAATTGGTAATCAACGAGCTGAATAATACACACGATACACATATGTGTATATACATACACGGTCGAACACACAGTACATACATAACCAGTTGACGAACACACGCCGGAGTTTCCTCCGGGAATTCAGGCGTCAGAGATTACTTATATCATGTTTATTGTAATATTGTGATTTATAAGCCTTGCTTCCTTCATTGGTTTAGTAGCGGTTTGTATTCGGAAATAACTTCTTCGCCAATTGTGTTTTAGTTTTATTTTTTTGGAAATATAATTTATAATAATCAAAGCATTTATTTCACAACATAACATTACATAACATAACATCACGCCAATATCCCCGAAGGGGTAGGCAGAGGTGTACATTACGGCACTTAATGCCACTGTATAATATAACACCCACTTTTTACTATTTTTGTTATGAGTCCCAAGTAATAGGGGTTGAGCCTATTGCCATATACCGGGCACAATTCCAGACTCGAAACGAAACGACTATTATATTTTTAAACCAACGCCACTTACCACTTTGGGTACGTTGCAACCGTTTACAATAATTTATGCTACACGTGGGGGAGCTTTGCAATGTTGCGTAATATAATTATGTATGTATGATAGAATTATAGAACCTACAGTCACTGTTACACAGTTAGATTTTCTTATATTTCTCGTAAAGTAAGACACAGTTAAAATTATAATTTAAGGGACACCATTTTACACTCTGAAATAAGCTAACCCCCTATTATATGGGACTCATAATATAAATAGTGAAAAGTGGGTGTTACATTGTACAGTGGCATTAAGTGCCGCAATGTGCACCTCTGCCTACCCCTTAGGAGATAAAAGGCGTGATGTTATGTGTGTATGTGAAAATTGAACTCGAATAAAATTTAAATTTATATGTGTAGCATCCAATGTCGCAATCAGAGATACACGTGTACGAACGAACGAACGTACATATAATTATGTGGATGAATAATTTCCATTTATTGTAGGATACGAGTATAACATATTTTATTTTATTATATTGGTGCCTTATAACTTGCATATTAGTTATCCCTAATGAAGACTAGTTATGATAAAATATTTGACCCTTATTTTTAAATTCTCATTTTAAACTGTCAAACACCAAGCGGTCACCGGTGACCGCAACCTATTGTTCTATAATTGTGTCTACAAAACCGGTACTCGACGAGTTAATGTATGTACATTAACTCGTCGAGTACCGGTTTTGGAGTTATTGTTGTTATTTTCTATTTCCATAATTCTCAAATTGGATTCTATTTTTAAGCCATTGTTAAGTCTATGAATTGCCAATGCTGTATACGCCAATATTGTCGCAGGCATCAGGCCTTTATTTTGTTACTATTGTGTATTTTGTTGTTTTATGTTTGTAATGTGGTAGTACTATCAATACATAGTATAAAACAATGTCGCTTTCGCTGTATGTCCGTATGTATGCTTAGATCTTTAAAACTACGCAACGGATTTTGATGCGGTTTTTTTTAATAGATAGAGTGATTCTTAAGGAAGGTTTGAATGTATATACATATTGCACCCGTGCGAAGCCGGGGCGGGTCGCTAGTTAAAAATAAAATAAAAAACACCCCAGCTGGTATCACAAGCCACTTTAGAAGAAAATATCGAGACTTTTAAAAGCGCAAAGAAAAACATAATGCAAGGAGTATGGCGACTAAAAGGTTCAGCTCTCTATATGTTCATATACTTTTAAACTTTTGCTACTGAGTTCCATAATATGCATACTTTAGCAGCGTAGTTAGTTTCATTTCACCGGTTTCAATAATAGCATGAAGGTTGGAGTCTACAATTTGTTTTTGTTTTTTTTTAAGGGGGTAAAATCATCGATTGACTTCTCCCGCCTGTGTGAAACAGGCGGAAGGGAGTGTCAGACTGTTACTGACTCGTGCACTTCGAGACGGAGCCCCGGTAACCCGTTAGGTTCTCCGCGGCTGGAGCCCAGAATATATTTATTGCAATAACTATCAACTACTGCTATGAATTTATCAAATTCTTACCTTTTCAAGTTAACAACAGAAGCAATGTATAAGTGTAGAAATAATAACTTCTCCAATCAAAAAGGCAAATGAACCAGCATTTTTACATTTACAATCGCAAATAACATTAACAAAATTCGCCGACATTCAAAATTGTACCGCGTTGCTTCCAATTCGTTACTTTCAGAACATTAAAGTGAACCGTCTAAGCTTATTAAAGGAACAATACCGCAGGCATTTTGGAGATTTCATTGTGAATGTTACTGTTGCTACTTTTTTGAGGTACAGGAAATTAATTTGTCTTGTCTTTTAGCGGGATTTTATAATTGTACCTACGCGTGTGGGAGACAAGGGAAGTCTTTCTTCGATCGCAGTAGCGTTATAAGGTATTATTAGGGTATTTATATTATATTTTTGTTAAACAAGCACAGATTTACATTGTTATGTTTAACTGGTTTGCGTAGGTAATTAGTTTATGAGAAACTTGATTAGTTTCAAACCACGCTAGGGGCTCATAATCCCTGAGGACACGGTGGAACACACTGTAGCGGAATGCCCTGCGTGGGCTGAGCACCGCCGTGTCCTCAGGGAAGTGATCGGCGATGGCGACCTCTCGCGTCCGGGCCTAGTGCAGGCCATGATGCGGAGCGAGGGGGATTGGGATGCCGTCTCCTCCTTTTGCGAAGCATTCATGCTAGCTAAGGAGTAGGCGGGACGCGTGAGGCAGCGAAGCGCTGCCTCCTCGAAACCCAGCCATCGCGAAGGACGATCTCCGGCCACCGTAAGCGCGGGCCTGCGGACGGCGAGCATGGGTGGCTCCCCGTCCGACCAGAAACAGACACGAGCGTACGGCGCGTCGCGTTCCGCGCGCGCCTCAAAGAGCCATCAGACCACCACAGATGGGGCCCAATAGGGCCGATGCCGATTCGGAGTCGCGGAGAACCTAACGGGTAACCGGGGCTCCGGCTCGACGTGCAGGAGAAGGAACGGGGTGGTTTTTAGTCAGTAAGAGTCTGACACTCCCTTCCGCCTCACCCAGGCGGGAGCAGTCATTCAATGATTTTCCCCCCTTAAAAAAAAAAGGGGCTCATAATTCATGAGCGAAAAAATGAATTCATCAAAACAGCAACGAAAAAGAATAACTTATGGAGTTTCTTGCTCTTTGTTCTCCATAGGAATCTACACTTTGGAACGAGTAGCTAGAGAACGACAGACTGACATTTGTAACATTTGTTTGACATTCAAAAGCGCCTTCTTGGTCTAATAAAAATAAATAATTTTGACTTCGACTTTGACCAACCTTGCGCTGTAGACGACGCGGCAAACGTCACGCAGCTGGCGTACAAAAATTCAGGCCAAGAATATTATGATTTTTCTTGAAACCAAAAAAATAACGCAGACCTTACAAACGACTTCCACCTACTACTTATCCATTACTAACATTCGCCAAGACTTTTAGATTGGCACGTGTCGACACAAGAACATTTATTTGATCACGAACATGTAACAATTGACCAAGACCATCTCGAGTGTTGTTACGAACAATAACTTAGGCCTTTAGCTTAGAATCCTACGAAAATACCCATATGTATCTCCTGCAAGAAATATAAAGTCTTATTACGACAGAGATAGGGTCTGATTTTAAATGATGCTATTACTAAGGATATTATAGGCTTTCAGTGAAAATGTGGGCTGTATTTCAAGACGTGACGTTGGTATGGAATGTCCAAAATGACGTGACTTAGAGATTTTGGATGTACTACGACATATCACGTTTCCTTTTAGTTGTAAAAATAGACAGCAGTTTGATATCCGTCCTTTATCAATGTGCGTCGTTTTAAGAAAAAGGCTCGCCTTTAGTTTTCACCAGTTTTGGCAATAAGGTTTTTCGGTATTTGTCCAATAAAATTTGATTCTATTTCTAAAATTTCGGGAAAATATCTTTCCCATATATTTTTACTTTGAATTAAATGTTTCTTTTACGTAACCATGATTGTAATCAACTGTTCAAGGTTGATGTTGCATGAATAACATGAAAAACAAAGATTAAAATTGTAAGATCAATTTCTTTTTGTTAGCGTTTCGGAAGCATTCCAGTTACACGCTGTATATCTATATCTATACTAATATTACAAAGAGGAAAGATTTGTACCTATTTTTGTATGTTTGTAATGAATAGGCTCAAAAAGTACTGGGCTGATTTAAAAAATTCTTTCACCAATAGTATGCTATATTCTTCCAATTTGACATAGGCTACATTTCATTTTGAAAAAAATGAGGGATCCTTGGTAAAATTTGAACAATGTAACCAAAAGTGTAGAAAAATGAGTCTTAAAATGTCTTTCGTCGAATGCGCTGCGGAAACTATTAGCGATAGAACAAAATAATGTACAATATTGAAGAACATTATAATGTCTACAAAAAACTCCGCGGTAGCATATGTCTACCTATTGTAGTTATGTCACTACAACAATCCAAATTTCCAAAAATAAATAATTGTCTACCCCGTGCGAAGCCGGGACGGGCTGCTAGTCTAGCATATTCGTATAAAATTCCATCCATCCATA